CCCCCGCGCCCCCGCCCCCGCCCCCACTCGTCACAATAACATTTATGACAACTTAACTCAGGAATGTCAGAAGCATCTACATATTCAGAAATATGCATTTAGGATATGATAAATAACCAAGCCAGGCTACACTCTCCCCCTTCTGATATTTGCATGTCCCCATGAGCTTTTCTTTCAACATTAGTATTATGGGTTGCGGTTTGTGATCAGTACTCCAACTAGCACATGCATCATATTTGGCTAAAGGATGGCACCATAACGTGGTGCATGATCGTTTTTTCCTGGTAGAATTCTGAACATTTACTACCATACCCCTATAAACTACTGTTAAGGGTCTGTCTGTGGGCTTTCCCAGTTCATCATAGCTTAATTTCTTTACAGGTTTCATTTCTCTCCTAGGACGAAGTTCCCATCTCTCTCCTTCCTCTACTCTTGGTGTGCTTAATGATTGATTGTCTCCCCCTTCTGATACTAGGCCTTCAACCACATCAATAATTGATGAAGCAATACTCTTCACTTCATGCACTGTTAGATCCTCTATCACATCTTCCTGAGTAGTACTTTGAGTAGTTCTGTAAGGTATTTCGTTCTCTCAGATTGAAATATATAAATGAGCAGTTTCTCAAAGGATGTTCTTGGCTGAGCTGGATAATATTCATCCATGCTATTGTCCTCACTGTCAGACACCAGTGCTACAGACTCACGACCATCTTCTCCTCTGTCTTTGTCTTCCATATGTTTCTGTGTTCGCTTTAAAGTTTTTGACCTTGTCACCCATCTCATTTCTCGGATCAGGTAAATTTATTCTCACATTTTCTCCTATGGGCTGTAAATGATCCCTGTGTAACGTTCTTACTCCTCCAGTACCAGTTTCTGGTTTTAGTCTGTAGACCGGCAAGTTTGGCAGTCTCTCCTGGACAAAGATCTTGTCCAGCGATTCCAGCTATCTTGTAACTTGTGCTTTCCAGTTAAGGCAAGATTCTTGATAAGTACTCTATCTCCCTTTTCTAGAATCTGATGTTTTACTCTTTGGTCGTAAAGCCTTTTATTTATTTGCTGTGTTTTCAAAGATTTTTTTAGGCATGGTAGGCATGTTGTAAGTCTTTCTTCACACCCTCAACATACAGGTGATGTTTCAGACCACTTTCACCTTCTGATGAAGTTCTAAACTGTACATCTACAGGAAGAAGAGCCTCTCTTCCAAATAACAGGTAATAGGGTGAGTACCCAGTTGTTTCGTTCTTAGTACAGTTATACACGTGTACTAATTGACTGATTCTCTGACTCCATTTGTTCTTCTTGACCCGAATGTAGTGTTCCCAGCATGGCAAGAAGAGTGCGGTTAAACTGCTCAGGTTGTGGGTCTCCCTAGGGATGGTAAGGCGATGTTCTGAACTTACAAATCCCTAATATTCCCAGCAACTCTGATGAGCTTGCTTCCAAAATCACGCCCTTGGTCGGAATTGATCCAGGCAGGCAGACCATAATGCACGAAAAATGTCTCCACTAAGATTTTGGCTACGGTCAATGCTTTCTGGTCTTTTGCTGGATACGCTTGGGCATAGCGAGTGAAATTATCTGTAGTAACCAGAACATTACAAATCCCCTTAGAGTCAGGCTCAATGGAAAGGAAGTCAATGCAAACTGTCCATCGGCCCACTACTTGTGATATGACTCAGGTAAGCAGATCTTTGAGGTAATGTTTTCCTTGCAATACATTGTCTGCAATTTTTGATGTACTGTTCCACGTTTGTGCTCATTTGTGGCCAGTAGAAATGGTTTCTACATAGTTCTGTGGTTTTCTCAATTCTAAGATGACCAGACTC